CTGAGTTGAAAGTTTGTGCTTCTAACCAGAACTTGGTACATCCTCCCTTGTAACTGGGCTTTCCTGTTTGTCTATATCAAAATGTCTACTTTCAGTACACAACTTGGAGGTGTTTGTGACTCTTACATCTTTTTTTTTTTTTTTTTTTGAGATGGAGTTTCACTCTTGTTACCCAGGCTGGAGTGCAATGGCGCAATCTCGGCTCAGCGCAACCTCCGCCTCCCAGGTTCAGGCAATTATCCTGCCTCAGCCTCCTGAGTAGCTGGGATTACAGGCACGCGCCACCATGCCCAGCTAATTTTTTTGTATTTTTAGTAGAGACGGGGTTTCACCATGTTGACCAGGATGGTCTCAATCTCTTGACCTCGTGGTCCACCCGCCTTGGCCTCCCAAAGTGCTGGGATTACAGGCTTGAGCCACCGCGCCCGGCTTCTTATATCTTTTGTAAAATACATTGGAAAATGTATCTCAATGTATTTTGTGCTTCTTTAATTAATTTAAATAGGGCTTGATTGTGCTATACAAAAAACACGAACACAAATATGAAGTTAAGGCTGAGCGTGGTGGCTCATGCTTGGAACCCCAGTACTTTGGGAGGCCAAGGTGGGTGGATCATTTAAGGTCAGGAGTTTGAGAACAGCCTGGTCAACAGAGCGAAACCCTGTCTCTACTAAAAATACAAAAATTAGCTGGGTGTGGTGTGGTGGGTCACACCTATAATCCCAGCACTTTGTGAGTCCAAGGTGGGCAGATCATTTGAGGTCAGGTGTTCAAGACTAGCCTGACAGGGAAACCTCATCTCTACTAAAAATACAAATAATTAGCTAGACATGGTGGCCAACACCTGTAATTCCAGCTACTAAGGAGGCAGAGGTAGGAGAATCGTTTGAACCCAGGAGGCAGAGGTTGCAGTGAACCAAGATTGTGCCACTGCACTCTAGCCTGTGCGACAGAGCGAGACTCTTGTCTCAAAACAAAACAGAGTGAAGTAGAACAGCCTCTCGAGTCCTTTAAGCATTCTTGTCCCTTCTAGTCACTCTGCTAACAACGTTCAATGTCTTCCCACCTCCTGGAGGTGTTTATGGAGCGGCCATAACAAAGAGTGTAAGCTGAGTAGCTTGTAGACCACAGACGTTCATCGCTCACAGTTCTAGAAGCTAGAAAACCCAGGATCAAAGCCCTGGCAGCCTCCGTGACGGGCGAGGACCCAGCTCCTCACCCAGGGCACCTTCTTGCTGTGTCCTCTCAGGGCAGAAGATGCGAACTCTGGTCTCTTCAGCTCTGTATAAAGGTTCTAATCCCATTTATGGGGGCTCCACGCTCATGACAGTCGCCTCCAAAGGCCTCGCCTTCTAATATTGTGGGGGATTAAGTTTCAACATAGGAATTTTGTGGGGACACAAACATTTAGTCCATAGCGGAAAGCAAAAGCCAAAGCCTTTTACAAAACCCCACGAGGCTCCCGGCGATCAGCTTCCTCTCTCCCCTCTCTCTGCTCCCAGCCACTTCCCAGCATCCACCGCAGGCAGGGGGCTCTGGGTTCCACCTCTTCCAGGTATTTGCTCAAATGTTATCTGAATTATTTTGTCCTCCTCCCCAGCTTTATGGAGGTATAACTGGTATACAAAAACTGCATATAACATACCTATTTGGTGAGTTTGGACAGATATACACACTCATGTTACCATCACCACAATCAGGAAAATGACATATCGATTACCTCCAGCAGTTTCCTTGTGTACCCTTGTCCTTTGTTTTTTTTTTCCTTTTTTCCCCCTTCCCTTCCCCCCTCCCCCTTTCCTTCCCCCTTTCCCCTTCTCCCTTCCCTTCCTTCTTTCTTTCTTTTTTTTTTTAAAGACGGGGTTTCACCATGTTGGTCAGGCTGGTGTTGAACGCCCGACCTCAGGTGATCCACCTGCCTTGGCCTCCAAAGTGCCTGGATTACAGGGGTGAGCCAGGACGCCTGGCCCCCTTCTTTATTTTGATGGATTTTTGCTCTGTCCGCCAGGCTGGAGTTCAGTGGCACTGTCGGCTCACTGCAACCTCCACCTCCCGGGTTCAAGTGATTCTCCTGCCTCAGTCTCCTGAGTATCTGGGACTACAGGTATGTGCCACCATGTCTGGCTAATTTTTGTATTTTTAGTTGAGATGGGGTTTCAACATCTTGGCCAGGCTGGTCTCTAATGCCTGACCTGAGGTGATCCACCCATCTCAGCCTCCCAAAGTGCTGAGATTACAGGAGTGAGCCATTGTGCCCAGCCTTGTTTTTTTTTCTTTTTCTTTTGGGGGGATAAGAACATTTAACATAAGAGCTACACTTTTTTTCTTTTTTTTTTTTGAGACAGAGTCTTACTCTGTCTGTCGCCCAGACTGGAGTGCAGTGGTGCGGTAATCTCTGCTCACGCCAACCTCCGCCTCCTGGGTTCATGCAATTCTCCTGCCTCAACCTCCTGAGTAGTGCGCAATTTTTTGGATTTTTGGTAGAGACAGGGTTTCACTGTGTTAGCCAGGATGGTCTTGATCTCCTGACCTCATGATTGGTCTGCCTTGGCCTCCCAAAGTGCTGGTATTACAGGCATGAGCCATGATGCCCGGCAAGATCTACACTCTTAATGCTTTTTTTTTTTTTTTTTGAGACAGGGTCTCCCTCTGTTGTCCAGGCTAGAGTGCAGTGGCACAATCACGGCTCACTGCAGCCTTGACTGCCTGGGGCCCAGTGTCCTGCTACCTTGAGTAGTTTGGATGACAGGTGTACCACCACAGCCACCTAATTTAAACTTTTTGTAGAGATGGAGTCTCAATGTGTTGCCCAGTCTGATCTAGAACTCCTGGCCTCAAGCAATCCTCCCACCTTGGCCTCTCAAAGTGCTGGGATTACAAACATGAGCCTCTCACCTGGCCAGCAAATTGTTAACTGCAGACCTCTGGAACTTCCTCATCTTTATTACTAGAAAATGTTTTTTGAGAAGGTACTGAAAAAGTATTCCCTGAATGAATTGTGTGACAAAGTATAACATTTCCTTTGCTTAAACCTCAGAAATGTAAGGTAGATATGCAGAGCACCAAACTTTCTAATTACCTCTCACAGATCAATTATTCATAGGTCATTCCTAAATCATTTTTTTGTTATTAAGAATTAACTCGTCTCCTCCCCGACGAAGTATTCTGGATAGCTTCTAGAATTTCACAAAGGGAGAATTTAAAGTGTCTTACAGCCGGGCGTGGTGGCTCAAGCCTGTAATCCCAGCACTTTGGGAGGCCGAGACGGGTGGATCACGAGGTCAAGAGATCGAGACCATCTTGGTCAACATGGTGAAACCCCATCTCTACTAAAAATACAAAAAAAAAAAAAAATTAGCTGGGCATGGTGGTGCGTGCCTGTAATCCCAGCTACTCGGGAGGCTGAGGCAGGAGAATTGCCTGAACCCAGGAGGCAGAGGTTGCGGTGAGCCGAGGTTGCGCCATTGCACTCCAGCCTGGGTAACAAGAGCGAAACTCCGTCTCAAAAAAAATAAATAAATAAAATAAAGTGTCTTACAGGTCCTTCAGAGAATTAGAGAAAGTGACTAGCACTTTAATTGGTCTCTGTAGAGCAGGCCTATCACAATAGCATTAAAAATACAAGAAGCAAAAATGGTAAGATGTCACTATTTGTATTTTGAAGTGGTAACATAGAATATAGAATGGCATATTCCTGCTATTTGTGAAAAGGACAGATAGATGATGGTTCTTTGAGCAGAAACTGTATTTCTTTCAAATGTTGTCTGATGGAAAGCCCATTGCGGGGGGAGTGAGGGTCCTGACTTCCTGGGCTGTAAAATGAATAGGCCTGAAGATGATCTCCAGGCCCATCCAGCTCTAAAACTCTGCAAAGCTTTTACAGATAAAGCCACATAACTTTCCTGTGTGCATCAAAAGTTGTATTTCCTATTTATTATTGCAACTGATTTAATGTTCCAAGAGTGACTGTTAGAGATCTACTATATGTAGATATACAAACTTTGTTTTCATAGTTTAGTGTTTTTCAGTAAATGAAAATTGTTTTCCTATCACTAATATTTAAAAGTAAACAGTATCTAGGACACATAAATGTAAAGAACCATCATGATTGTATTTAACTCTGATTAAGGGATGAATTAGCTAGTTTGGGAACATGTAAGTCCCCTGTAGTTCTCTTCCCATTTTTGAACAAAGAAGATTCGAATTCCAGTTTGTGGCTTATTTACAACCTTCAAAGACATTATAACCGAAGGCTAAACTGAGCTTCTGGCACTGTCTGGGTTTCTATTTTGGGGGCTCTCCTCACCATTTAATTTGACCTGGGGATTATCAGTAGTACTGTACATAGTCCACTAATTTAATTTCACAAATGTTATTATTTCACCTATACATGACTGCAAAGGATGATACAATGCTTCATAAAAGCTATTTGAAAAGATAATTCAGAAATAAAATGTATTACTCAGTTAAATCATATTAGCCTATGGGAGAAATTTCAATGTCTATACTTCGAAATTTCAAATTAATATTGAGACAATATTATTGTGCCACCTAGAGCACCAAACCGTGGGCATAAACCATCTCCGTCGTGAGCCGGAACACTGGCTGGACACCGCAGATTATCTGGGGCTTAAGCTGTTAACCTCTATCACAAATCTAAAGTCTGCCTTCCCTATGTAAAACTTCAAGAACATCACATCTTTAATGAGAAAACGTAAACTTCAAACATACAACAAAATATCAGGTTTATTTTCAAGCGCGATAATCCATTTTTCTTTTTACAAAATCACAACCATTGATTTTTATGAACTTTTAAGTTTCAGAATGATTTCGTCAAGAGTATTTCTACAGGAATAGAAAGAGATCGAAGTGTATGCCCTCGCTGGGTCTCACCCTCACTGTTAGTTACCGGGACTTCACAGCCGGATGAGCAGGTCCTAAGGTGGACAGAACAAGGAGGTCCGTCTTTGCGGTAGGTACAGAAAACTTGGAAGTGCAATTCTGAGGCTTCTTCAGGGTTATTAGGAGCTTGATACCAGCTGCCCCGAAAAGGCTGGGTAAGTGAGGATTTACACTACGGAGTAGCAAGCAAGCCTCTGCTTCCCAGGCCCTGCGGCCGGGTGTGCAACAGACAAAAGAACAGCTCTGCGCTTGCCCTTCCCGAACTTGAAAACCAGTTCGCAAGGCCGGACTTACACAAATTAAATCAAATAACAGGATTATGCGGAAAGGAACCCCTGCGTATAACAGTTGCCAGCGTGTTATGCCACTCAAAACTGAAACACGATTTTAAGGAGTTTTAAACGAATGGCTGGAGACCCATCTAAGAAGGCAGATCTAAGATGGAAGAAAAGGCGGACTCGGGTTGAAATGGCAAATTGAGGACTGAAGAAAGCATTTGGATAAAACAGCCTTCAGGCTGGGAAGGCAAAAAGCAAAACGAGTAGAGCCACCAAAGCCCCAGAAAGGCCAACAGATCGTGCAGTGGGTCGGTTTAACTGAAAGGCGGTTTCCTTTTCCTCCATTTGCTCAGTCCCAATTGGAAGCGCACTGCACGGCCTACGCCGCGCTCTCGGGCGGGGTGCAGCGTGGGGGCGGGGAGATAAGTACGGTAATGGGCGGGGCCGAGCGCGGGCGCGCTCCGGCTTTCCCCCGGCGCAGCGCTCCCGTCAGCGCAAGGGGCGGGGCGGCTATATTACGTGCGCGGCACCGCCCCTGCGAGAGGACGTTGCGTGCTCGCTCGCGCCAGGCGAGTCTCCGCGTCTCCGTCGCGAACTCGGTGAAAGGAATTGGCGCCGTTCGACATCAGGCGGATCCGCTCTGCAGCACGAACCCATCTCCAGCCGCAGCCTAAGCCGCAGCCGCCGCCCGGGCCGAGGAGCAGCCGCAGCAGCCGCCACCAGTGGCCGAGTGAGCGGAGCCGAGTTTGAGGCAGCGCCTAGCGGTGAATCGGGGCCCTCACCATGAGTTCCTCGCCTGTTAATGTAAAAAAGCTGAAGGTGTCGGAGCTGAAAGAGGAGCTCAAGAAGCGACGCCTTTCTGACAAGGGCCTCAAGGCCGAGCTCATGGAGCGACTCCAGGCCGCGCTGGACGACGAGGAGGCCGGGGGCCGCCCCGCCATGGAGCCTGGGAACGGCAGCCTCGACCTGGGCGGGGATTCCGCCGGGCGCTCGGGAGCAGGCCTCGAGCAGGAGGCCGCGGCCGGCGGCGACGAAGAGGAGGAGGAGGAGGAGGAGGAGGAGGAGGGGATCTCCGCCCTGGACGGAGACCAGATGGAGCTAGGGGAGGAGAACGGGGCCGCGGGGGCGGCCGACGCGGGCCCGATGGAGGAGGAGGAGGCCGCCTCGGAAGACGAGAACGGCGACGATCAGGGTTTCCAGGAAGGGGAAGATGAGCTCGGGGACGAAGAGGAAGGCGCGGGCGACGAGAACGGGCACGGGGAGCAGCAGCCTCAACCGCCGGCGACGCAGCAGCAACAGCCCCAACAGCAGCGCGGGGCCGCCAAGGAGGCCGCGGGGAAGAGCAGCGGCCCCACCTCGCTGTTCGCGGTGACGGTGGCGCCGCCCGGGGCGAGGCAGGGCCAGCAGCAGGCGGGAGGTAAGAAGAAGGCGGAAGGCGGCGGAGGCGGCGGTCGCCCCGGGGCTCCGGCGGCGGGTGAGTGCTGCGTTGTACGTTGCGCGCGGCGGGAGGCCCGCGCGGGGTGGGGACCGTGCCCCAGGCCTGCCGGAGCCCCGCAGGGGGAGGGAGCCCCCGGGCGGGCGGGCGGGGGCCGCGGCGAGGCTGGCGGGTGGGGGAGGGGGCGCGGGGAATCCCAGATTAGCCGAGAGGCCTCGGGCTCGGGGGGGGGGGGTGGTGCGCGCGTGTGACGGCGGTGGCAGCGCCTCCATTATGTGGCTCGAGAGCTGGGGGGAGCTGCAGCTGCCGCTGGAGGGGGAGGAGCCGCGGGCCGGCGGCGGGAGGGAGCTTCGTCGGCCCGCGGTGGCGCCGTCGCGCTGCGTGCGCGCGGTGCGGGCACATGTCTCGGGGGGAGGGGAGAGGCCCGAGGTCCCGGGGCGGGCGCGCTTTGGCGGCTTCTCGCCACTGTATTGTGCAAGGAGCACAGGGCCTCGGCGTGACGTCACTTCCGGCGGGAGGTGCCGGGCGGGGCGGCGGGCGGAAGATCTGTACAATGCGGCCGCGGGGAGCGCGGGCCTGCGGGGGAGGGGAGCGCCGAAGCGCCGGGCTGGACGCCCCCCCCCGCCCCCCTCCCCCCGTCTGCTCCGTGCGCCCTCTTCGGGATACACGTGGGCTCCTGGCTTGGTCCGTGCAGTTTCTCTCTGGCCTTCTCGAATCATCGAGGAGACTGGCAAAATTAGTAACGTCTTTAGACTGCGTCACTAGCGCCAATCTAATTCCTGTCTGATTGTTCTTTGAAGGCACATTTGAGTCCTCGGTTAAAAGCTCATTTAAAAAGCCGGGTAAATCGAGCTGCTTTGTGCCTCGGCCTCGGAAAAGGGTGTTGTGTTGTTTAGCGGCTTGACCTCTTATGGGGGTGTTGTGTGTTTTAGGGGATGGCAAAACAGAACAGAAAGGCGGAGATAAAAAGAGAGGTGTTAAGAGACCACGAGAAGATCACGGCCGCGGATATTTTGAGTACATTGAAGAGAACAAGTATAGCAGGTACAGGATGCTCCCCTAGTTTTACTCGTCAGCACTTACTGGTTTGTTGATCAGAAAGCTGTATCAGGAGACACTTCTATCTTTCAGAGCCAAATCTCCTCAGCCACCTGTTGAAGAAGAAGATGAACACTTCGATGACACAGTGGTTTGTCTTGATACTTGTAAGTGAAGCTGTTTCTCCCCAATTATGAAATGCAGTGGTGGTTTTTCGTTTTTTTGTTTTTGGTTCCAAAATGTTAGAAAATTTAATGCAGTCTATGTTGAGCTTAAGTGCTGAAAACTTCGGTGAGGTTTTGAAAGCAGGAAGGTAATGGTTTCTATTCGGAAGCACGCAGTGTAATATTTAGCACAGCATCAGTTGTATTAAATGGAATGTTACAGGCTCTAGCAGTTTCATATTTTTATGACTTGAAAGTTCTCATTCTTAGGAAATGTAAAATTAATGCCAGTTTTTGACTATCTGACGGAAACTTGTAAAACTACCTATAGTTCAGACTTACAGGCTCCTACAATAAAGTAATTAATTTTTTTGTGGAATTCTATTAAGTGAGCTATTTGGGCTAGTTATATATTAACTAATGACTTTTCCCATTAGCACACGAATATATTCCCTATTCTAAAAGATTGTAATATTATTTTCAATAACTGCTCTTTGTTCTCAATTCCAGTTCAGTAGCTGCTGCTTTAAACATAAGTTGATTTCTTCCAAAGACCTGAGGCAGCAGCAGTGGGCTATCACTGGGCCACTAGCTTTCTTCAGCAGCGAAATGGTATCAATGACAGTGCAGCACTGTAAATACTGCTACTTTACCCAGTTGGGTTGCAATTAGTATGAGGAAGTATTGCAAACCTCTAAGTGGGCTTTGTTGTTGCTATAAAAACTGTAGTTGGTTTAGTGATCAGAATGCACAACTCTGATAAGTAGACCAGACCAAAGGATAGAAATAACTGTTTGAAAAGTATCAGCTATGGTGTCAGCCTGCTCTGTTAGATAAAAGGCATTGAAGCTTAGCTTCTCATGTTTTCTCATACAAATTGGTTTTATTCAGATTTGTAAGCGTGGAAATGTAAAACTTTCTTACTGGAATATCCTTTATAGAGGGTTGAGATAGTCATCTGAGCGTTTTTAAAAGAAAAAAACAGGTGAAAAAGAAGTTAATTGATTTGAAAGTTTTATGTCAAATTTTCAGTTGCATAAATAAAAAGTTGCTAGGAATTGGCAAGGTAGTGAAGTGGTGACTCACAGGTAATGCTGTTAGTTTTTTAGCAAATAGGCTAGGAGTATATCAGTAAGTGCAATGTTGAATTCAAACATAATTTGTTGAATTAAATTCTGTTGATTGAGGCAATTCTAATTTAAGAAAAATTCCAAACTGTAGATCTGGTAAAGAGCAGAGCAGGTATGTCTCATCAGTAAAAAGAAAATCGAATTCCAGCTTGACTTTAGCTGTTCAAGTGAGAAGTCTAAGAAGGTGCATGCTAATGAGCTATGACCCATAGGTAGCTAGATTAAAGACACTTTGGATTTGGATAATCTGGGAAGCAGTTAATCTCTAATTGTTGGATAGGCAGTCCTGGGTAAAGAGGTCCTAAAATGCTGTATTATTAACAGCATTAGACGGCCAGGTTTGTACTTCATAGATTAGGCTGTCTTCACAACTTTTAGAAAAAGAATTTGGGAGCTAGAGCCCTGGTGCAGGATCAGCAGCAGCTCATACTCCTATTTTAAAATAATTTGGTCGTGGCCTCCCTTCAGTTTTAATGTGGCACTGGTAAATCTACCTGGTTCTGGCATGCTTCACTTTGATTTCCTGCTGTCCTCTACTGCTTGCCTCTAAATCAAGGTAAAGAGCAGAGCAGGTATGTATTAATGTCACATTGTCTTGATTATTTTAAATACTTTAAAAATATACATATTAAACCTTGGTGTTAGTTTCATAGGCGGTTTATTTTTCAGTACATAATTTAACAGGAGTGACTTGGTGGGAGTGGGGCTTCAAACTGAAAATTGGAACAACAGCATGATGTGGAAAAAAACTGCAGCATTAAGTAAATGCAGAAATCAAATAACCAAGTTATGTCTACATAGCAGATATATTTACATTGGATGTCAGGAGTAATACAGTATTTGATATAATTACAGATAATTGTGATCTACATTTTAAAATATCACGAGATCGTCTCAGTGCCTCTTCCCTTACAATGGAGAGTTTCGCCTTTCTTTGGGCTGGAGGAAGAGCATCTTATGGTGTGTCAAAAGGCAAAGTGTGTTTTGAGATGAAGGTAAATGCAATTTTATAATTTGTTTAAGACAAAGTCTCACTCTGTCACCTAGGCTGGAGTGTTGTGGTGCGACCTCAGCTCACTGCAGCCTCCGCCTCCTGGGTTAAAGTGATTCTCCTTGCCTCAGCCTCCTGAGCAGCTGGGACCATAACAGGCATGCGATACCACACCTGGCTAATTCTTGTAGTTTTAGTAGAGACGTGGTTTTACCTGTTGGCCAGGCTGGTCTCGAACTCCTGACCTTGGGTGATCCACCCGCCTTGTCTTCCCGAAGTGTTGGAATTACTGGCATGAGCCATAGCACCTGGATCTTTTTTTTTTAAATAATGACAGGGTCTTACAATGTTGCCCAGGCTGGTGTTGAACTCCGAAGCTCAAGTGATCTGCATGCCTGAACCTCCCAGAGTGCAGGAATTACAAGTGTGAGCCATGACAGGTGGCCAGTTCTGTGAGGGTTTTTTTTCCCCCATTTGCTTCACACTGCTAGGTATCAAAGTTACTTATTTTTTTGAAGTGTCCTATAAATTAAGAGGAGCTTGGAACCTTCATTTTGTGACAGTTAATCAAGTTTGTTTTAATATCACAACTTGTCATGTAGAGCCAGGCTATTTTTTATTTATGGTACTTCTTTTTATCAAGTATTTGAAAGAGCCACCAAAGAGTTAAAAATAAAATTTGGTTAGATTACTGGTTTTGTTGGTAAGAAAAACACACTAAATATAAGTGGTTTTAAGTTGAAAACTGACATGTACTTTTAAATGTGAGTATTACTTCAATTTCAAATTACAAGCACATCAGTTTAAAGTTCTTACAAATATTGAGGGTGGACTAGAGTTGTGCCTTCTCTTTGTATTTATAGCTAGGGAAAGGATTAGCCCATGGCCCAGTGAAGTAAGTCAGAGTTAAGGGGTTATCTCCTTGGTTTATAGTTTTAATTATTTAATGATTTGACTTTCAGGTTACAGAGAAGATTCCAGTAAGGCATTTATATACAAAAGATATTGACATACATGAAGTTCGTATTGGCTGGTCACTAACTACAAGTGGAATGTTACTTGGTAAAGTTACTCTTTGACTGCTGTGGGCTCACGAATGTTTCAGAGCATCTGATTTCAGTATTTTTTAACTTAGAGGGCATTCTAAGCCTTTTGTCTGTTTTTATTTATTCTGTTCTCCAGATGAGTAATATTAGCATATACTAGGCACAGGCTAAATTTTAGTTTTTGTTCCTTTATTGGAAGTTATTGACCAATGGTTGAAATAGAATTTTACTCATGACATGCAAATTGTCAACTAATTTGGTTTCTGCATGTATTTCCTAACTTTCATCAATTTTAGTACAGAGGTAGGAAGTCATTGTCAGTGACAGATGATCAGGTTATACGCTCATTTCTCTCGCAGCTTATATTTTTAGTCAAATAGATGGTCTTTGGGCTATTTTAAAAATCGACTTCATGAAGGTTAATTATTTTCTTAGGTGAAGAAGAATTTTCTTACGGATATTCTCTAAAAGGAATAAAAACATGCAACTGTGAGACTGAAGATTATGGAGAAAAGTTTGATGAAAATGATGTGATTACATGTTTTGCTGTAAGTTATAGCTAAGTTTCTATGTATAAATGGCAAGCTAGTAGCTAGGTCTAGGAACTTTTAAGAAGCTTTACTGAGGTCAGTCTTCAGTATGAGCAACATAAATAACCAGTTCTGAGTTAGTTTTAAAGACTTTGTTCAGCAGTTGAATTGGGAAAATATAGGGCATTTTTTGAGGAACTCACTAACTCATTCTGACTGAAAACAATAGACATGAAATTGACCTAGAAAATTTAGTCTAGCTTGTAGGTCAGCATTGTTTCTGATTCTGGAGACTTGATTGTTTATAACCATGAGATTTTTTTTTTCTTGAGATGGGGGTCTTACTGTGTCACCCAGGCTTGAATGCAGTAGGGTGATCTCAGCTCACTGGAACCTCCTCCTCTCAGGTTCTAGTGATTCTCCTTCCTCTGCTTCCTGAATAGCAGGCATATGTCACCAGGGTCAGCTAATTTTTGTATTTTTAGTACAGATGGGGATTTCACTATGTTGGTCAGACTGATCTCAAACTCTTGACTTAATGACTCACCTGCCTTGGCCTCCCAAAGTGTTGGGATTACAGGCGTGAGCCACCACCCATGGTGAGATGGGGTTTCATCATGTTGGCCAGGCCTCCCCGAAGTGCTGGGATGAGCCACCACACCAGGCCTTAACTGTTAGATTTCTTTTTTCCCTTTTTTTAAAAAAAAAAAAAAAAAAAAAAAAAAAAAAAAAAACAAAAAAACGGGGTTTCACCATGTTGGTCAGGCTGGTCTTGAACTCCCAACCTCTCAGGTGATCTGCCTGCCTTGGCCTCCAAAGTACCTGGACTATAGGTGTGAGCCACCACGCCTGGCCAACTGTCAGATTTCTTAACTGTTTAGCCCTTAGAGGCCTCCTAATAGGTCTTTTTTTTTTTTTTTTTCTTTCCTGTTTGCCTGTCCTTGAATTAACTAATAGTTCTTTAACCTGTAACTTCCACAGGATAAACTTTTCTCCTCATTTAGTTTTTTTTTTTTTTTTTTTTTGAGACGGAGTTTCGCTCTTGTTACCCAGGCTGGAGTGCAATGGCGCAATCTCGGCTCACCGCAACCTCCACCTCCTGGGGTCAGGCAATTCTCCTGCCTCAGCCTCCCAAGTAGCTGGGATTACAGGCGCGTGCCACAACGCCCAGCTAATTTTTTGTATTTTTAGTAGAGACGGGGTTTCACCATGTTGACCAGGATGGTCTCTATCTCTTGACCTCGTGATCCACCCGCCTCGGCCTCCCAAAGTGCTGGGATTACAGGCTTGGGCCACCGTTCCCGGCGGAGTTTCGCTCGTTACCCAGGCTGGAGTGCAATGGTGCGATCTCGGCTCACCGCAACCTCCGCCTCCTGGGTTCAGGCAATTCTCCTGCCTCAGCCTCCTGAGTAGCTGGGATTACAGGCACGCGCCCCCACACCCAGCTAATTTTTTGTATTTTTAGTAGAGACAGGGTTTCAGCATGTTGATCAGGATGGTCTCAATCTCGTGATCCACCCACCTCGGCCTCCCAAAGTGCTGGGATTACAGGTGTGAGCCACTGCGCCCGGCCTGCTGCTCATTTAATTCTGGAGTTCTTTGAAAGTTTATAGGAAGCAGATTTTAGTTGTTGAAATTTTTTCTGTTTAACAGAACTTTGAAAGTGACGATGTAGAACTCTCCTATGCTAAGAATGGACAGGATCTTGGCATTGCCTTCAAAATCAGTAAGGAAGTTCTTGCTGGACGGCCACTCTTTCCGCATGTTCTTTGCCACAACTGTGCAGTTGAATTTAATTTTGGTCAGAAGGAAAAGCCATATTTTCCAATACCGGAAGAGTATACTTTTATCCAGAATGTCCCCTTAGAGGATCGAGTTAGAGGACCAAAGGGGCCTGAAGAGAAGAAAGATTGTGAAGTAAGTGATTTTTTTTAACGGTGGCATTTGAATATTGCTTGCTTGGCGCAAATGACATTGAGAAGAGCTAGATGATTTGTTTCGTTTACTTTTTGCTATACATACTGCTTTCAATTGGATTTTTCTCTTAAGTTAGCTGTGTTTCCCCATTGTGTTAACTGTTAATCTTTTTATAAACACATTTTTTTGTCCTTTATTGTAAGGACTATGAAAACCTAAATACTTAAATTGGCTTTAAAAGACAGTATTTTAAAGATTATTAGGTGATGTCGAATGACTAGACAGTGAAATGATACTTCTTTCTTCTCACTAGGTTGTGATGATGATTGGCTTGCCAGGAGCTGGAAAAACTACCTGGGTTACCAAGCATGCAGCAGAAAATCCAGGGAAATACAACATTCTTGGAACAAATACTATTATGGATAAAATGATGGTAAGTAAAATGTTGAGGGCTTTATCTCAAGTGTTTATAAAATAGACCAGGAAAGGCTGGATTGTGCAGGCTCAAACACCTGTAATGCCAGCACTTGGGAAGTCAAGGTGGGTGGATCGATCACTTGAGGCCAAGTGTTAGGGACCTACCTGGCCAACATGGTGAAACCCCGTCTCTACTAGAAATATACACATTAGCTGGGCATAGTGGTGGGCACCTGTAATCCCAGCTGAGGGAGGCAGGGGCAGGGAGAACCACTTGAACCAGGGAGGTGGAGGTTGCAGTGAGGCGAGAGTGCGTCTCAGGAAAAAAAAAAACCAGGAGGTATTCTAGGTAAACCTTTTGCCTGTTGTCTTTATCCATTTTGTTATATTAGAAATAGGAGGTAAGGCAAAATTAAGTTGGTTCCTTGGCTAGGCTTGTCTTGTCTTTTATTTTTTCCATAGTTTTTTTGAGCTCTTAACATCTAGCAGCTAAAAATAATTGAGTAGGGTCTTGTTACATAGTTAAATGACCTTGTTTTTGTATTAGTAATGGACAAAGGTATACTTAAAATTATAAAATGTTGCCTACTTTCCATATAGATAAGAGTTGAATTTAAAAATTTTTAACTTTTGAATATATATAGGTGGCAGGTTTTAAGAAGCAAATGGCAGATACTGGAAAACTGAACACACTGTTGCAGAGAGCCCCACAGTGTCTTGGGAAATTTATTGAGATTGCTGCCCGTAAGAAGCGAAATTTTATTCTGGATCAGGTATGCTGTAGCTTTGAAATGGAAAAATATTAACTGGTAACTGAGATAGATTGGTGTAGAATTAATAGCGTTTATAGTTATAAACACAATTTCTTTTTTTTTTTTTTTTTTTTTTTTAAAGACAAATGTGTCTGCTGCTGCCCAGAGGAGAAAAATGTGCCTGTTTGCAGGCTTCCAGCGAAAAGCTGTTGTAGTTTGCCCAAAAGATGAAGACTATAAGCAGAGAACACAGAAGAAAGCAGAAGTAGAGGGGAAAGACCTACCAGAACATGCAGTCCTCAAAATGAAAGGCATGAAATTGAATTCTGTGACTGTGTTAAATCTTTTTTAAAACTTTTTCCCCATGCTTATTCTGCTTATGTAACTGTTAAATCTCTATGGTTTACGTATCTGAAAAATTAACGTTTTTGCCAGCAATACTGTTTCAAGAGTTACAATTGCACTCGTTAAATATGCCTGTATGTTTGGTCTATTTCTGTTGAGGAAAATAAAGTTACTAAGCCTCAAGAATCGTTAGCTTTAGGGTTGCGGGATTTGTGGTGGGTCTCTAAGTTAATAATACGACTTTGTTTACTGCAGGAAACTTTACCCTCCCAGAGGTAGCCGAATGCTTTGATGAAATAACCTATGTTGAACTTCAGAAAGAAGAAGCCCAAAAGCTTTTGGAGCAATATAAGGAAGAAAGCAAAAAGGCTCTTCCACCAGAAAAGAAACAGAACACTGGCTCAAAGAAGAGCAATAAAAATAAGAGTGGCAAGAACCAGTTTAACAGGGGTGGTGGCCATAGAGGACGTGGAGGATTCAATATGCGTGGCGGAAATTTCAGAGGAGGAGGCGAGTTAATTTCTAGTGTTCTATATTCCATCCAGGATCGAAACAAGTGATACTTTTATAGTTCGGTTGATTTGAAGTAGCCTCTAAAGAAAAATTGAAAAAAAAAATTCGGATGTAGTTTGGATGTAGCTGTAGTTTCTTCCTCATTAATGCTGTGCTGTCACAGGAACTAGTTTAAGGTATCGATGTGATTTGATGATTATTTTTTGAGAAAAAGTAACAGTCTAGAGGAATCCCAAGTCTTGTATAAGTAGGTAGTATACAATGCAATTAAATCAAAACATCTCTCGTTTTTTAGCCCCTGGGAATCGTGGTGGATATAATAGGAGGGGCAACATGCCACAGAGAGGTGGTGGTGGCGGTGGAAGCGGTGGAATCGGCTATCCATACCCTCGTGCTCCTGTGTTTCCTGGCCGTGGTAGTTATTCAAACAGAGGGAACTACAACAGAGGTGGAATGCCCAACAGAGGGAACTACAACCAGGTAATGCAGTATCCCTGGAAACATGATATCTGTATAGCTTAGCCTGGAAAGTTGTGAGCTTTATGTTGGGGTAACAGGAATCCATAAGGAACATGAAAGATAGGCATTGACATAAGGAAAATTGAACTAGTAGAGGTGAAATGAGTCAATTTTGAGTGTTTTCAGGTATGCTAATTAATAAGTCAGATGCATTTCTCATAATGAATAAAAAACATTAAGAAATCAGTAGAGGGTATCCCAATGTGTGTATTCCCCCTGAGATTAGGGGCTAGTAATCTATTTTTGCTCCTCTCTGACCCACACAAATCAATCTAACAAGCAGATGGGCTCAGAGCTCTTAAAAAATATTTCCTTTTTGTAGAACTTCAGAGGACGAGGAAACAATCGTGGCTACAAAAATCAATCTCAGGGCTACAACCAGTGGCAGCAGGGTGTAAGTAATTTCTTATGTGCTTATGTACATTAATTGTATTTTGGGTTCCTAAAGATGTGTCAGTCTTGAAAAAGATCTTGTCCAGGGATTGAAAAGTTTGTAAGTGTTAATAGGGTAAAGTGTGAATCGTGTTGTAGAAAGTAGCCAAAATCTATCTTTTGAAGGCAAAATAGGTTGAAGATTGCTATGAGTTAAATTTTTTAATAAAGTAATATTATTTAATGTATATGGTTCTTTTCACTGTAGCTTTAATTGTGTAAACAAAGTCATGTGTTTCTTTTTGTAATGTGTATTGATAATTACGGGATATTAAAACTAACTAAATCTGGTTTGGTAGAAATCAGGTATGACAGGTATAAATTTGTTTCCAGCAAATTACTCTGAATTAGATTCATTGTCATTTCCTAAAACAGTTTGAGTGGCTTATTGATGTTTTTTCTTTAAAAACAAAATTTTCTCTTACAGCAATTCTGGGGTCAGAAGCCATGGAGTCAGCATTATCACCAAGGATATTATTGAATACCCAAATAAAACGAACTGATACATATTTCTCCAAAACCTTCACAAGAAGTCGACTGTTTTCTTTAGTAGGCTAACTTTTTAAACATTCCACAAGAGGAAGTGCCTGCGGGTTCCTTTTTTAGAAGCTTTGTGGGTTGATTTTTTTTCTTTTCTTTTTTGTACATTTTTAATTGCAGTTTAAAAGTGAATCGTAAGAGAACCTCAGCATTGTGCACGATAAGAGAATGTGTCAGTATTTCAGGGTTCTACATTTTATCTGTAAAATGTGACTTTTTTTTTTTTTTTTTAATCACAACAGAAGTAAAATGTTGCTTTGTACCTGGTGTCTTTTATTAAGAATTTACTCCCCTCATTTCTCACAGAGAGTAACAGTCGGGAGTCATTGTCACAATATAATAGAAATGTTAGCAACCAGATTCATGTAAGGACTAAGAAGTCCTCATGAATGGCATAAGACTCTGTACTGCTCATATTACACTCCATCCTCTCTGTAGTTTGCTGGGTAGTGGAGGGGGTAAGCGAAGTAGTTTCTGACAATAACTGGGAAGACTTTTAAAAAATAACGATGGAATTGGTGTAATTGCGATTGCAAATTAAAACTTGGAATGAAGAGAAGATGGAGTGTATGTAGAAGGGCTGTTAAAAATGTAAAACTCGGTTGCATTATTTGTGGAGGCTCAAACTTGTGAAGGTTAAATACCATAATTTTTCCATTTGTTCTGCATTTTGATTCTGAAAAGAAAGCTGGCTTTGCCCATTTCTTATTAAAAAAACTTGTTGTAAATCCAGTTGTCTAATGGGATCTATATGAAGTTAGCCATGTCTGTATGCCCTTCTCCCACAAAATACTGTATAACTAGTGTGCTTGTAGTAGTTAACTCCACCATCTTTGTAAGCTAATGAAATTGTGAGTCACCCATTTATATCTTAATTTTTAATCATGTCAGTTCTTGAATGGGTATCTCCTTAGCCTGCTGATTTCTTTTTCTTTCTAAAGAAAGTGGGTGGAGAAATTAATTTAGACGTTTGTTTGCAATAAAAAGAATTCATTTTACTCTTGTTTTGGGATTCTCGCCATCAAGGTTTAAAATCCCTTTATAAACTCCCAAGAGGAGAAATTTTAAGTGTGTGCTTTCTGGACAGCTTATTCTATACTCTGCATAGAACATTTAGGTTTTAAAAACTTAAATGTATACTGACAATTGATATATAATTATGAAGTAAAGTTGAATTCTTCCCTTCCCCTCCCCCCCAGACAACTTTTAACATATTTAATGAGGGGAAAAGGTACTGGCTGGGAGAAGTTAACACTTGTTTATCGTCATTACAGAATGCTAATGCTGTCCTCAACTGAGTATTTTATATACATATATATGATACATGAAACTCTGGGAACAGATGCTTTTAGAAGCCATCATGCAAGCCAGTCATTGGTGTCACTGCTACACAACACTGCTAACTTGACTGTAGCTATGTAATAACATTAGATCCCCTAATTGTAATTATATTGGGTTTGCACAGAACACTTTAATCTTCCCCTCACTAATGTGAAGTGAGGAATCAGGAGTCAAACTGTAGAACTAAAATTTGACTTCAGTCTAAGTGTTTCCTTGGTGTTTTGAGGTTGCTTTTGGTAAGTTTAGGTTTGCTCTATTTCTGATTGGTTAGAATTTGGTTTTAGCCCTTTAAAATCAGATTTTTAATATGAATTCATACTCCTAAGGAATTTTCTTACTATAAGCTGGAGTTTTAGGTGATGGTATAGGTTCAGTTGAGGAATTTTTGGAACAAAGGCTAATCCTCAATTAACATAGGATATTTAACAGTCGAAGAGAGTGTCATGGGTTTTTAACTTTTTTAGTAAGTAATGCTAAGAACCACTGGCCTGAGCTACTCTTCATTATTAGGATTCCATAGGCTAACTTAGATAGAGGAACAGTTTCAGGGTTTGAATGCTTGTCAATGTTGAGGTGTCCTAAAGTTTTCATTTGTGCCTTTAAAAAGTCTTAGATGCCGGATGTGGTGGCTCATGCCTGTAATCCTAGCACTTTGGGAGGCTGAGGTGGGTGGATCACCTGAGGTCAGGAGTTCAAGACCAGCCTGGCCATCATAGTGAAACCCCATCTATTTTTTAAAAAAAAGTCATAGATATACCTTCTAGTTTAAAATTGCTTTTTAAGGAATTTATTTTATAATTGCAATGGGAAAGTAGTGGTCAAGTAACGCTAGGTAGACTATCATGTCTGTAGCCCAGAGAATTTGGGAAAGAGAGATAGAATAGATAAAAATGGTGCCCAGAAAAATGTTAGAACCGCAAGTAGTCTCTCAAGACTAGAATTAATAGATTGTCTATACTTGTATGGAAAAAATAATGTTATAAACTGTTTAAGAATTCGGAGAAGGGAATGTACCAAATAGCAAGCAACAGGGAGAAAATTAGGTAATTTAAGAAATAAGATGTGAATGGGAAACCCGATTTATTGCTCACCCTTCCCCTGCCTCCCTGGTGGCAAGCAAAAATCCGAACAACCGGAAACAACAGATGTAGTTCTGGCCAAATCCTGACTACCCAGAGGAAACTTAATTGTAAGATTGCTGTTGATTTGGGGGGTGCTTTCCCTGAGAGGTTGTTTTCAAATAGGATAACATGCTGAGTGAAAACAAGTCTTGGATTGGTCAGCTACAGTAGTACAGAAACAGCATAGAATTTGAGAAACAACTAACACTTAAGACTGCTATAGAAATGATGTAAATAAAATTAGGTGGAAAGAGCTTTTCCCTCATAGAGCTTTTGAAGGGCTCTGGTTCTGACCAGCTTATGGCCTTGAGCAAGATGAAATCATGAAATTGAGTCAAATCAATTTGACATTGAAATGGCAAAAGGAAACTATAAACATATAAAAACAAACTCATTTGCCTAAGAGAGCTCCTGTCTAAAGGCTGAACCTAGATGTTCTGAGCACTAGTGACAAGGTATTAACACTTAAAAGGAACTTTCTTTATATTTTAGGAAACATAACTATAATCCGTATTTTAAGGGATTTTCACCTTGGGATTTTATATTCATCAACAGTATATTCTGTATTTAAAATTGGTCTCCTTTGTGGGAATTTACGACATGTTTTTTGATAAACTTACTCATAAATTAACTTTTTATTGTAGGACCATGTGAATAATGGGTTCCATTGCACAAATAAAAATGATAATATTTTAATAGCTTCTTGGGTAGTGGTGTAGACATCTTGGATAAAGATAATTGTAGATCTTGCATATTTGATTTAAAACTAGAATAAACAGAGGGATAAACATCACTTAGAGCCTAAGTGGTAGTGTCTAGCATTGGATACAATAAATGGATGTTTTCCAAAGTGTTTCCATAGTTCTCCTCCTATATGTAAATATAAAATGTCTTGATTTCAAAAGTGGATGGAACTTGGCTGGGCGTGGTGGCTCACCCCTGTAATCCTAGCACTTTAGGAGGCCAAGGCAGGAGGATCACTTGAGCTCAGGAGTTTGAGACCATTTGGGCAACATAGTGAGACGTTGTCTCTTAAAAAAAAAGTGGATGGAATTCGTAGCAGAGAATTTTCTCAGTCTACTTCAGAATACTCATTTGAGATACTTCCCTGGAAAGACGAACACAATACTGCATTTGAAGCCATTTCTTCCCACCTAACATTCTTAAAGTGATTGGCGTCTAAACTTTCATTCTTTCGTGATCCTAGAGCTCTGAGAGTGAAGTGTTCAGAGTTTGTGAATAACTGGGTTTAAGTTTTAACATTTTAGTGATAGTTAATAAAAGCAAACATGTTGAGGCCTGACAGCGGGGTTGCAATACCTATGCATTGGGACTCATACCGGCCTAAATGGTGAGGGACTGAACGATGAGTGCTTTGAGCGAGGATTGCTTAACTACCTGAGATCTTTGAAACCGTAATTTGAATTACTAATTATGTAAGCCACAAGGCCCTTCGAATTGTTAATTACCTGAATTTACCCTAAAATTTAATTAAGTTAATGCTGCAGTGCCTTTACTACCTACAGCTTTTTTTTTTTTTTTTTTTTTTTGCCCACAGCTACTCAAGTTAAAATTTTAAAGCATGAAGGTGATAGATCCAGCTAGTATTAGTGCTTGAGTTGGTAGTTACATCGGCTGCTCTTGAATCATCCTATTTTCTTTGCCTTTGCCTAGTTACTAGTACTACGGGTACATATTTGTAAAACAAGCATTAAAAGTATTTTGTCCAGGTAACTCATGTTGGAGTGACCTTTGTTACTAAACTTAATTAGAATAAGCCCTTGAGAATTTGGAAGTGAGCTGTAATACTGATGTAGTATATATCCCTTGAGTGTGTTGGGATTAGATTAAAAACCCAGGGGTCCCTGAGAATCTCAATTATGTTTTTGAAATTGAACAACAGAAACAATTCATCTTAATACTTTGTTTTCATTATGTTTCGCATAATATCTGTGCTGGTTTATTTGGGGTCACACTTAGGTCAATCTCAAGTCACGCAGAAATAGCCTCAGAGAAGAGATGAGGTCGGAAATGGATGATGCATTTACGTTATTGAGTAGGACTATACTTTCACATCCTAAATGATTGACTTAAAAATGTAAATGATGGAAATAATTTCCACTAGTTACCCCAGGTGTCTAAAGCCTATATAGTAGAATTGGGTGTTGATTGTAAGCCTGGTGTTGGGAGGGAAACATGTTGAAGATGGGCCAGGACATCAGTAATCACTACTAGGTTAGGCAAGTCATTAAGACAGGCAACATAACCATGTTGTCAATTTATAGTTCTATAATTGTTGAATAGGAATACTTTTTCATGCTAGGATTCATATACTTGAGTCTTGACAAGAGCAGGGGTTGTGCTTTTAAAGCTGAATTCTGGGCATAAGAAGCTATATACTGTAGTTGAAAGTGTGAAGAAGGTGGCAGTGTAGGTTAGTCTCCAGAGAAATGTCTTCTAATAAAGATTCAGGGTCTCTGCATCATTACGATTACCCTACTGTGCCAATGACAGTCTACATTATTGAAAGATAAAGCAGAGATTACAGGGTGGAGAGTTCACATCTGACAGAAGTGCTGCACTATTGTGGCATGTTCTTTCTTGGTTATAACAGTTCCATTTTGAACATTAGAGGAAGTAATTGAGTTTTGTCTAAAAAAAAATATGTTGCAAACACTTAAAAGCATTTCCACAAGTTGGTGTCAGCCAATAAATAAATTTTTTTTAAACACCAAGAATAGACGTGGCTCGCATGGACTCCAGTTTATAAGTGTGACATTAACGCTGTAAGAGTTAAAGCACAGAGATGAAATAAAATCCTACCTAAAGAGCTACTGGGGCTTATTGAAATGGGAACTAACAAATCCTTTGAGGCAACTTGTATTTTCTATCTCAGTTGTTGGTAAGGAAGATTGAGAGAGTCATGGTCAAATAAAAGAATAAAATATTCCAATATAACTTTTTTTTTCTTGAAAAGTAAAGCAAACGTGCTGATTTACATTTCATCTCCTTTTCCTTAGTCTGTCCATGTGAATGTGCTGTGTGGAAGAGTTAAAGGGCCCAACTAAATGTTCCAGTCGTTCCAATAGGTATTCCAAATTAATTGCTGCTTGTACATTTAATGGTCATGTTAGGCTTCCAGAATCATTTTAAATAGGACCCTGTTCTTTAAGATGGGGGAAAAGAGTAATTGGTAACCAGATAGAGTCTCTGTAACAGAAAAAAAGGTGTTTTATCCTGCATATCTGAGGTATAGTGTGCATTTTGTGTGTTCTTAGAAATTGGCAGTCTTCTTGATTAGGTTAGGTGTATACAGGTGTACCTGCAAAATACACCTGAGTCCTATCATATTAGATTATACTTCTGATTTTATCTGTTTTAACTTTTGGCAATACTTTGATACCCACCCTACTTGGAAAGTGTAAGTACTTCCTTACAACGTTCTGCTGTAAAATGGTGCCTAGGAGACCTTTCTGTCCCTGGTTGTGCAAAACCTTTTTCATTTCTACTAAATTCACAAATACTGTAAATGGTTTTACTAGCTTATGAAAATTTGGAAAATAGATTGACATCCTTTTCCAGAATGAAGTGATAAGTTTGTATATTGAAGTATATAAAAACCAACTAGGAAGTAAATTCAAGACTGAAGGAATGTGAGGGCTTCTGTGAGCTTTGGTTGTGTCAGTCCAGAACATGTGATTTTCCATTGCCCTGAAAAAGACTTTCATTTATTTATTTTCTGCACTATGCACTCCAGGATGTCCTTAGGTGAAATGAGAGGGCTTGGGCCGATTCCTCATGTAGCTGTCAGAGTTGGCTTAATGAAATATGGATCTACTCACAAAAAGCAATTTATTGGTTTCTGAAGAGTAGGCAACTTGTGGTTTCATAACCATTTCTGTTCATTTGAGAAAAATCATAAATCCACAGAAGAGGAAATATTCATTTCAAAAATAAGCTTTGAATTTAGTTGGTAAGGCATATATGTTTTATTTCACATGACTTGATGGTATCAGTGAAAAAGCATTTGTATGGAAACTTAACAGTTTAAGAAGCCAATATATGCAGAGATTGATGACTTTGATACCGTCTGAGGGTGTGCCATTTAATAAATAGGCGGCTGACAACATACAGGACTTAATTCCTAGAAGAATTAACACATAACCACCCATGACATTGACCTGTGTTTTAAAGTGAACAATAGAAACTTCTCAGAATTAGTATTTGCCTGTTAATCAGTGTAGCCTTCTCAACATAAAAGTACTTAAATGTCCTTATTCTAGAAATTGGAAGTGTAGGACATGCAATGGTTGAAAGCACTGAAAAAATGTGTAAAACATCTGTAGTGCTCACATGAACAATACTTTGAAAACTATCTTCATGATTTTTTTGTTTTAATGGCTTCCTTTTTAAAAAACATTTTTAAAATGCTTAAAGATGGAACTTACTGTGTAAAATAAGTTGTGTAAAATGCCAGTATTTGCATGGTAGAGGATATTGGTATATTGGCCTGGCTTGATGACTACTGGACTGTTTGAAGATACCTACTTCTAAAACTTACTTTATTCCAGAGGACCACTAAAACCACAGTTACAGCAATCATTTTAATTTTCTACTTTCTTGTTAAGGTCTTCTGCATACCCAAAGAATAGTGTCTATCTTTACATGACTTTTAAAGGGGTGTCTTGATCCCCATCACAGATTTTTATCTAGGAATAGAAGGATTCAAACCCTATTTGATCCCTAGCTCTTTGCTGAAAAGCGCATAAACAGGAATCCTGAATTTATTATATAGACCTCCTCGCATTATGTAATCGAAGCAAAGGGAAACCAGCGATGGAGTAGAGGTACGTAGACTAAACAGATGCTTGCAAATCAAACAATGCTACGCAGGGACAGTCACATTTTCCTGTTAAATCACAAGTCCAGAGAAGAGCTAGTTAATTTTAAATTCCCCGAGGTCCTTTTACTGAGATTGAAAAGCACAAGTAGTCAAGGAAAACCAAAGAGGGTGGGCGAGGGAAGGGGGAAGTGCATAAAGCACTTGTTTTTAAAAGTAGGTATGATAGATAAGCCACAAGAGGTTTTTAAGACGACTAATAACCATAATTCTATTTTAATCAGCTATTTAGCTGGTACCTACTGCTATATCACCTAGTGTGACATTTTGGAATTAATGGAGCAATGAAGAAAGCTGTACTTGAAGGTTCCAAGTGGTCATGGAAGGTAGGTCACTCTCAGTTTGAAATTGGAAGGTGTGAAAGCTTGGATGAGAAGGGAAGGGGAACCTCGACTATCTTTTAGTGAACATTTGGTAATTTGGTCTAGCATTTATTGACTATTTTGTGCCAGATACTTGGATGAAAATGTAAAGATAAAAATGGCCAAGGTTTTTGCCAACGAGACACTTAGGCTGTATGTGATTGTACCAGACACTGGTGACGGACAGAAGTGCTAAATACTGTAACAGATAAGACAGAGTGGTGAGAACTTAAAAGGTGATTGTAATTCTCAGAGGCTAGTGAGCAAAATAATGGAAAGTTAGAGGAGGTGAAAAGGCATTCCAAGTGAAATGAAAAGTTTGAGTGTTGGCATGGATATGGTATAAAGGTCATAGTGCATTGAAGGTTTGGCAAAGAAACTAAATACAGTTTGAATGTAAAGTTGGATAGGAAGGTAGAAATTTAATGGAGAGACTGGAACTGTCTTAACAGTTTTATTGAGGGTGGGTGTTACAGACTTCAGTAAATGTATGAATACACTTTGTAAAACCTTAATAGCACAAGAATAAAAATTACTAGTGATCATGTAAATACCTGAAACATTTATAATCCAACCAAATGTGTTACAACTTTGTTTTCATCCAGGTTTCCAGTTTATGCAAACTTCTGCTGTGAAAATGAGCTAACCTTGTTATTGGTGAAGGCACTGGAAATTTTGCCAGCCAAGAGAGCTTCTCTCTTATTCAGGGTAAGATGTCACTGCAGCATGCTAGCACTGGAAGGGACCTGTTATACGTTATATATGTCAGGCATCAGCCCTCCATGTCCTCCAGTTCCTCATCCTTGGATTCAACCAACTGTAGGTTGAAAATACTGGAGGTTAAAAGCCAAAAAATAACTGTAACAAGAGAAGTTTAAAAACACATGGTAAAATAACCATATTTACATAGCATTGTAAGCAATCTAGAGATGATTTAAAGTATATGGGAGAATGTATATAAATTTTTTTTCTTTTAAGACAGAGTCTCACTCTGTTACCCAAGCTGGAGTGCAATGGTGCAATCTCCGCTCACTGCAACCTCCGACCCCCGGGTTCAAGAGATTCTTGCGTGTCTGCCCTCCCAAGTAGCTGGGACTATAGGCATGCACCACCATGGCGAAACCTTGTCTCTTCTAAAAATAAAATTTTTGTATTTTTAGAATGGTTTTGTCATATTGGCCAGGCTGGTCTTGAACTCCTGACCTCAGGTGATCCACCTGCCTTGGACTCCCAACGTGTTGGGATTACAGGCGTGAGCCACCACGCCCAGTGGAATTTTTTAAAGTTATTTGGTTATGACCAATTTGGATAATATAGACTGCATGCAAGTTTGCTTTGTGCCACTAAGAGTGGGCAAACTGTCTTTTCCTTTTTGTGAATCAGTCAAACTTCTCCCTCTGTGTGTTTGATAAACCACACATCCTCTGCGTCACAACCCTTCTAGCGACAGCTGCAAGAAAAGGTGGGCATGGGAGGGAAAATGCTCTTGTGAGTTGAACTGGAGCAAGCTCCACTTTTCTTTAGAAAAATACATAGATCAAAATATAATTTCCTTCCTCGCTGTTTCTGACTTCTATGATACATCAAAATAATAGGACCAGTAATGCCACAATCCTGTTGACTGCAGGTATCTTCCTCCCAGTATTTCTTGTAAGCATTTCTTAAGGATCTAGCTTGTGTTGTGTTATTAATAGATTTTCTTAGTGTACTGATTAAAACCAGAAATAACTTCATTTTCCTAGAAAGGGAGAGTTTCTCCTGGATGAATAAATACTGAGGATTTAGTTGGATGCTGAGGCTATTCTTGTAATTTAAGTAATATTTTAATGGGAGCAGCTGATTGACTCAAATGGATTGTTTACATTAAGAAGAATTAATTCTGCAATACTTTTTCTATTCCATCAGTCTCCCAAACAAGTTCCATGTGCGTATTTAAATTCAGAACTAAACTAATTATACTTAAAAATTAAAACCCTGAATACCTCCCAAAAAATGTTTAGGGCAGTGAAAAACAACTCTTTGGGAAGATGACTCAAATTCTAAGAAATGAGAAAACACTGTCAAATGACGAATACATTTAAAAAGTGATTTGCAAAGTGATAAAATCCCTTAGTTTTGAATCTTGTGAGGACATTAGCTGCTACAAGAAGCCAGTAAGTATTCGCTTGCTTTTAATGGGATCCTAATAAGGCTGAGGTTTTTGTTAAGGGAAGTTTACTTATCATTAAACTCCGAACTTATTACAAGGAAACTCTTTCCAAGTACATTAAACACTAGGGCTTTTTTTTAACACTAGGTTTTTATTGGCCTCACTGCCAATAGATTCTGTTCACGTTTTGTAAGATGTAATAATCCGATACTGGCAGTAGATACAGGGCCAGAATAATTGCCAAGTTTTCATTCCATACAGTGTGGGAAAAAAATGACTACAACTTAAACAAACTTTATTTACTTGATTGACAGCTTATTGTACATGAAATGTTCTATGTGGTTGATCTTAGCTGCATTCACACTGACTTCAGGGAGTCTGGTTTTCTATGCTCAAGGTTGTTCAATTGCTGCTGTTACCGTTGTTTTGTTTTCTTTCAGGATCGAGGTGGGTACCTTCATATAGTAACTTATTTTTCATTCCTTGTCTGGTAATTCTTTGCTGGATTTTTTGCTTTGCATAATTATACCTACAATGAAACCTTGGAAGAAAAGAATATGAAAAAATTATTAATACAAAGTCCTACGGAAATTAATTTATGGAATTTCTCTATAAATCAAACAAAACGTAAATACTTACAGATGACTACCCTGAGACTGAAAACAATGATTGTTCTAATTTGGAGTGCTATTTTTGGGCAGTTTTGGTGTTAGAATACCTATCAACACATTCTTTTTTATTATGAAATAGAAGGATATCTACATAACAATTTGTAAAGTGATAAAATCCATTAGCTTTTTTCCTTTCTTTTGATGGGGATAGGCGGTGGCTCACCTCCGGTGGATTGCCCTCCCGCTCCCAAGATCCAACTATGAGCTTTTTAAAAATCCATTAGTTTGGCTGGGTGCGCAGTAGATCATGCCTGTAATTCCAGCATTTTGGGAAGCTGAGGCGGGCAGATCACGAGGTCAAGAGATCGAGACCATCCTAGCCAACATGGTGAAACCCCCGTCTCTATTTTAAAAAAAAATGCAAAAATTAGCTGGGTGTGGTGGCGTGCGCCTGTAGTCCCAGCTACTCAGGAGGCTGAGGCAGGAGAATTGCTTGAACCTGGGAGGTGGAGATTGCAGTGAGCCGAGATGGCGCCACTGCAGTCCAGCCTGGCACCTGGCGACAGAACAAGACTGTTCAAAAAAAAAAAAAAAATCCATTAGTTTTAAGTCTACTGATGGCATTGGTTATTAAAAGAAACTAGTAAGTATCTGCTGTATGCTATGTCTACATAAAATGATTTCTGTCACCTTAAATCATAAATATTTGAGATTCATCCACATTTTATATTCACTCATCAATAGTTGTAAACACGTTCTTAAGGTAAGGGAAAAGGTTGAGGCTTTCCTATGTGAGGTGTAGATACCACAGCTTTCTTTTTAGTGAATGTCTGATATCATGCATTTATCTGTTCAAGCATTTTAAGACAGATTTCCATGAAAATGTCCTTAAAAATCAAGATTCATTCTTCACTGAGGGTGAGAATCTCCCACTGGGAGATTGCTCTGAAAAGCGTGTGCTTTTTGAATTAGATAACGTTATAATCATGCATGTTCTTGAATACGTAGCAAACATACCAGCATCCCAAAGTCACCAAGATAAATCCTCCTACTCCAACATCACATGATCTTCTAATTCTACCTGTCAAAAAATAGGCATAACCACTATAATCAGAATTGCATTTTATATACGTTAGTTACTCCATCTAGGAAAAGACAGCTAATAACATAAATGCTTTTTTAATACATAGAAAAATAAAAAGCACAGATACTCACTAGTTAACAAAAAATGTCCAAAGCCAGCCACAACAGATCCTAATGAACCATATAGTATTGAATCCCGGGCACAGGGAATATTTTCAACGTCTAAAATTCCTAGGAGTTTAAAGGGCTAGAATAAAAAAAAAAAAAACCCTAGATTGAGTAAGGAAGTTATTTTATTTTAGGGTGGTTTGACAACAGTTACACCATTTCTTTTGTTTTAGTTCAGAGTTTAAAGTAGAATAGACCATGTGACAACCTAAATCAGCTTGCATTGTATTTGTCCAGCTTTGGTATGCAGTCTGAATCTTTAAATCTGGAAACCTTAAAAATTGGACCAGAAAACCCTAAGCAATACGGTAACATTGAGCTATATCTTAATTTGCTAACCACTTGACTTGGAAATAGGAAACATTTTATTTTATGAGCTTTTTAAATGGGTTTATTTAGGAATATGGCTATTACTGAAATTGGAAGCAGCACAGTTTGCTTTAGTAACTCCAATAATTTGGGAAGCAGAAACAGGAAAATCATGTTTGCTTATGTAGTGCTGTTTAAAATTTCCCTAATAATTACCTTTCAGGTTTTATTAACTAGGCTAACATCAACTGTGGTTGTAATAAATATTTCATGTTAAGATAAACATGGGCAATATATCCAGCTCTTCTAGTCTGTTTTCTTGCCTGTGAAGTGAGGTTGCACTTGATTATATTTGATTCTTTGTTCATAATACATGGTAATGACAGCCAGGTATGGCAAAAATCCTGGGAATCCAGAGAGCTGGATTTTTGTCTCAGATCTGCCACTAACTTTTGTATTCTATAGGTTATTTTAACCTCCATGGTCTCAATCTGTAAAATGAACAGGTTGGTTTAAATGATTGAAGTTCCTTTACGTGCTAAAATGACTTATTTTTCTACAGTCTTGGTTGGATTTATGTATTTCTTTTTCCCAATATGTTTAACTGAGATGTCTGTCACTCTAGGGCGGCGAGACAGACATTTAAAATTAACAGTCACACTGTTGAACTGGCATTTCTGTTAACACAAAAGTTTAGAAAACTCGTAACTGTTTTCTAAAGTGTATAGAAAGTTTTCAGTAAGACGGCTTTTAAAAGGAACCACTGTCCATTTAAAGGTTTCATAGTATTGTTTGGGGCAAGACATTAAACCAGAAGAGGATTCTGTAGGATGAGGTGATACCTAGAAAAGAAATGGGGAAAGGACAGTAAAAGGCAAGTCAGATTAAAGGTTGAAACATGAAGATACTCTCAATTGTATTTCTGCCTACATTTGCTTCTTTGGCTGAAGCAGCTGCTGGAAAAGAATGTGATTTGGTTCATAATAAAGTAAAAATTATTTGCTCTCTTGGATCATGCTATGTCATTTCTTTCTTTTCCCCCCTCCCATCTGGCTCCCTGCCCCTGCCTAACATAGGATTGCTTCAAAGCTTTTTAGTACAGTTCTTCACATTACCAAGAGGTTCCAAGAGGTTGGGGGATTTCACTTAACAAAAAGACTTTCTCCTATTGGCTTGAAAGCACAGGGGACACATGATCATGGGGACAGTGTGCTATGCAGATAGGGAATGCTGGACTTTGCGCTCCTGTCCAGGGCTATAGCTGTAAACTATTTCCCCAAGGATTGGATGCTGGGGCCAGAGGGTTAGTACCAGTTTTATCTAGTCTTGGGTGCAAAGATGCAGGTGTGAGATCAGCTTCTACCACAGAGTAGAACAAAGTTTTTTTTTGTTTGTTTTGTTTTTTTTTTTTTTGAGACACAGTTTCTATAGTCTCCGCTTCCCAGTTCAAGCAATAATTCTCCTGCCTTAGCCTCCCCAGGAGCTGGGACTACAGGTGCATACCACCACACCCAGCTAATTTCTTTATTTTAGTAGAGACAGGGTTTCACTGTGTTGGTCTCGATCTCTTGACCTCGTGATAGCCCACCTCAGCCTCCCGAAGTGATGGGATTACAGGTGTGAGCCACTATGCCTAGCCTAGAACTGAAGTATTTCCTAGTCCTACGCTAAGATTCTGATCAGATCCATGATGGACCATGGGATGTTTTTTCTCTTAAGGCCATCAGATTGGGGAAACACTGATTTAGAAAATTTTATTGCAAACAGTAGAATATCTCAGCTGTCTTTAAAGGCAAGTATCTAAATAGAAGCTATGCAATCTATTTAAAATTGTGTCTTCTAACACAAAGCCACCCCCCAGCAAAACTATCTGGTCTAGAATAACAGTGGTTGATCTCATAATTAAGAGCTGCTGGTTGTGGGGGGGATATTTGTGCCAAGATCTCTTGTCAGATTACCTCGGAAACACTAATAAGTGTTGGCAGGAGTGGAGGCAGAAAAGTCAGTTTGACACCAAAAGCCTATGCGATCCATTGTGCCAAACAACATTACTAAGAACCAAGGGGGGTCCAAAGTGGCTCCCGCCGGAGGTCATGGCGCTTGCGAAGGCGAGGTCATCAGTTCAAAGCTAACCTGAGCAACCTCGTAAGCTCAAACTGATTGGCAAAAAATAAGAAAAATAACCAAGGTCTGGAGGGTTCCGTGGGAGCTTTCCAGTTGTCACACATCTAAGGAGAAATACCACTAAGTAAGTATGCAATTTTTATCAAAACTGGGGAAGAATATACCAAGACTTATTTTAAGATGGCAATTTTCCCTTTCATTAGACAATCGTCAGCCTCCTGGTAGAGCTGGAGGTCAGACTACTAGTGACTTGGAGCGTGTATACCTTAAGGTTACACAGCTGTCATGCATGCTCAGAAATGGAGATGAATAAAGGATCCCAGGCATAGCTTCCTGTGAAGTCCTCGGTTTATATACAGAAATAATCTGCCCATAATATGCATGCCCTTAACATTTCTATCCCTTAAGTAGCATGCAAACTTAAGGTTTAATTCTTGCCACTAACAAATGTTAGATATTTTTAAAGCTTGGATTTAGAAAAGCAGCTTTACCAACTCATCTTGATGGATCTAAGGAAAGCTCAAGAGATTTTCAAGCCAGAATGTCAATACTGGATAGAAACAGATCTGATCAAATTATAGCCAGTTGTCTATCTTCCACCACTAAATCTGCTTCAGTGCCTGTATTTGCCTTTTCTCTGGTTGCAAAGCATGAATTGGCCTTACACCCTATCTAAAACTTGAAGGGACCACAGGCAGGAAGACCAGTTAGGAGGTTAAACAGGTGAGGGCCAGGCGTGTTGGCTCACGCCTGTAATCCCAGCATTTTTGTAAGGCTGAAGCGGGTGGATCACCTGAGGTCAGGAGTTCAAGACCAGCCTGGCCAACATGGCAAAATCCTGTCTCTACTAAAAGTACTAACATTAGCCAGGCATGGTGGCACATGCCTGTAATGCCAGCTACTTGGGAGGCAAAGGCAGAATCACTTGAGCCCAGGAAGTGGAGGTTGCAGTGAGCAGGGATTGCACCACCACACTCCAGCCTGGGCACCCGCTCCGTCTCACACACACAAACCCTCTGTACACCTGTCTCCCCAACCGGCCTCCTAAACTACCATCCTGGTTTTCTGCTGCCTTTGATAGCAAAACTAGAGTCTAGGTGTGCTTTTCTATTTAAAACCTCCCATTCTCCCTTTAACTCGCTTGCTTTATTAGTGAGGCGTCTGTCCACTGAACGCCACTTGACACCACAATCAAGGTCTCTGAAAGACATCCACTTTGCAGTCTGTCTGCCTCTGCATCTCAGCATATGTGGCACAAACTATCATTTGTTTTTGGAACTATTTTTACTTGGCTTCAAGTACAACATCTCATGGTTTTCTATTTCATTGAATTTTTGCTGCTGTTTCCTCTTTCACAGTGCTGATTTTGAAGTGCCACTTTTAACCTCTTGTGGAATTTCGTCTCTTCCTAGGTACCTCAAGGCTTTCAGTTAAATGCTATTAAATGCCCCCAGATTTCTAGATCAAACCCTAATCTCTCCCAACTTCAGCCTCATCCCTCTGCTTACTGAACCACACTTTAAAAAAAAATATTGTTATGCTTGTGCAGGGGCCATGCTAATCTTCTCTGTGTCGTTCCAATTTTAGTGTATGTGCTGCCGAAACCACACTTTTATGTATAAAAAGCACCTTGTACCTAGTATTTGCAAAATAATTTTCACCTCCAAACCTGCCTCTTAATGGCACACTACTCAACCCATTTGATTCCTTTACCAAATCCATGTTCAATATATTAGCAATTCTGGAAGGATCTGCATTCAAAACGCATCCTGAACCAAACCACTGCCCACCAACCTCATTGCTAATACAGGCTGAGCATCCCGGACCCAAAATGCTCCAAAGTCGACAGCTTTTTGAGCACTGATAGGACACCAAAAGAAAATGCCTTTTTTCTTAAATTTGGGAAGCTCAACCTGTACTATCAAATGACCATCTATCAACAGTTACCTGTTAGATCTTGATTTTATTCATAAACGTGTATCAGATGACTATAATAAACCCGCCTTGGCTCTCAATTATGCTTAGATTCTTTCTGAGCTGGAGTCCCACTCTGTTGCAGGCTGGAGTGCAGTGGTGCAATCCTGGCTCACTGCAACCTGTGCCTCCTGGGTGGGTTCAAGTGATTCTCAGGCCTCAGCCTCCCGAGTAGCTGGGATTACAGGGAGGCACCACCACATACAGCTACATTTTGTATTTTTAGTAGAGATGGGGTTGCACCAGGTTGGCCAGGATGGTCTCGATCTCCTGACCTTGTGATCCACCCGCCTCAGCCTCCCTTTGTTGGGATTACAGGTGTGAGCCACCTCGCTCGGCATGCTCAGATTCTTACCGTTGCTCCAAAGGCCCCACATGACCCTGTGCTCTTTCAGCTCCCACTCTAGTTCACTAGCCCAGGCACAGTGGCTTTACAAGTGGCCTCTAGCAAACCGAGATGATTACTGAACACATGCCGCCGTTCTCCTAGGTCTTGGCATGGGTTGGCTCAGTGAGCAAGTCTTGCTTACCGATTCCCCAGGAGAATGTCAGCTCCTTAAAGGGATTTTTCCTGTCTTCATCAGTCTAGTGCCTAATACTCAGTAGATACTCTGTAAATATTTTTTGAATGGGTGAATTAAGAATTTACCTGTATGTACCAAATTTCACATTTTAAAGTTTCTTGAAGGACAAGAATGTGGCAGAGGATGGTTTTCAGGGGCTAGTTCTATTAAGGTATGCCAGCTTGGTAATTCGCATTTTTACTTTAGGTTTACTAATTCTTTTTTTTTTTTTTTTTGAGATGGAGTTTCGCTCTTTTCACCCAGGCTGGAATGCAATGGCGCGATCTCGGCTCACCGCAACCTCCGCCTCCTGGGCTCAGGCAATTCTCCTGCCTCAGCCTCCTGAGTAGCTGGGATTACAGGCACACGCCACCGTGCCCAGATAATTCTTTGTGTTTTTAGTAGAGACGGCGTTTCACCATGTTGACCAGAATGGTCTCGATCTCATGATCCACCCGCCTCGGCCTCCCAAAGTGCTGGGATTACAGGTTTGAGCCACCGTGCCTGGCCAGTTTACTAATTCTTATAATAAAATAATCCTTTTCCCTGAGTTGTGCTGGAATGATCACTGGCAAATTTTTTTTTTTTTTTTTGAGATGGAGTCTCCCTCTGACACCCAGGGTGCAGTGCAATTGGGAGATCTCGGCTTACTGCAACCTCTGCCTTCAGGGTTCAAGTGATTCTTCTGCCTCAGCCTCCCGAGTAGCTGGGGCTATAGGCACACACCATCGTGCCCAGCTAATTTTTGTATTTTAGTAGAGACGGGGTTTCACGATGTTGGCCAGGATGGTCTCCATCTCTTGACCTTGTGATCTGCCCACCTCTGCCTCCCAAAGTGCTGGGATTACAGGGATGAACCACTGCACTCGGCCCAAAATTCTTTTTTAAAACATCACCACAGGCTTCCTTTCCGCCATTACCTTGGGCTGTTAATTAGTCATAGCTTATATTAATTTAATTAGCTTTTTGATGAGCTCTGATAGGTACTGCTGTTTCATGAGCAATTTCTTTTGGCTTCCCACATCTATGCTGTTTTGAGACTTATAATTATTCTTCATTTCAACAACTACAATATTGTTTTGCTACGTACTGATGAACCAATTAAATAGGTCAATGTTGATCTTTTTTTTTCCATTAAGTTCTTTTAAAAAAAATTTCCAATGGATTAAACCACCTTTATGACCTTTAAAAACAGCTGTTATCTCCTATCCAAAAGTCCCATTCAAGATTCCAGTGTTTATCACGAAGCTGAATCTAGGATTTACTGTGTGTAGTTATGGTACATGAAATATACAGTTTCAAACAAGGATTTTTTTTTTTTGAGACAGAGTTTCGCTTTTGTTGCCCAGGCTCGATCTCAGCTCACTACAACCTCCACCTCCTGGGTTCAAGCAATTCTCTTGCCTTGGCCTCCCTCCCAAGTAACTGGGATTACAGGCATGTGCCACCATGATCGGCTAATTGTTTTGTGTTTTTAGTGGAAACAGTGTTTCTCCATGTTGGTCAGGTGGGTCTCGAACTCCCAACCTCTGGTGATCCACCCGCCTTGGCTTCCCAACAGGCATAAGCTACCACCGCGCCCGCACAAGGAGTTTTTTTTTAAAAAAACACTAAATGTATTCTAAATGGGCAGGGGACGGGACAGTAAAAACAGATGAGGCACCAGTAGTACTATGTAACTTGACAAAACTTGTTTGATGTTAAATTATGAAAACAATTTATACAGGATTTGTTAATATTAACTATAAGATCTTATGTCTTGGCCAAATTTAGCCCGCCAGAGAAGCAAGCCAGAGCAACAAGTGAGCAAAATTTCCAAGCTGAGAGAATATTTTAAAAGTATATGTCATTATCTGGAAAGTATATATTAGGAGCCATTTAGCACATAGTGCGTCTTCTATAAATATCTGCTCATGATTAGCCAATGTTACATCTCCATAATTTATACTAAAATACCTTTTTTCTCTTGCATTATCCTTTTCTGAACACCTGTTCTGCCCTGAGGATATAAATTGGGTTCCCAGCTCTTAATAAGGAGCCCATGCAAAGACAAAGACAAAGGATCATTTATTACCTTCCAATACGATCAACGTAATGACGTACAAGATCCCTGGGAAGATGGGGAAAGCACTTAAGTCATCTTTGGAAAAACAGGAGCCCTTCCGGGGAGAGCGCTGCGTTTAGCTTTATTATACCAAGAATTTGGGTTTATCCTTAGAGAGAGAGGATGGGCTGCTGGAACTGGATGTTAGGCAGAGGGATGAAACTGTCCAGCTTACCGGTTGGAAAGGACCGGCGGACAATAGTGGAAGGTGGACTGAGGAGACGGCATCGAGACGGACACCAGCTAGGGAGGCCACTGGTGACGGGGGAGGAATCTCAACCCTTCAATTCAACGTAGTACGATCAAGTCATCCCTCAGCAATTACTGTCTCCCTCTACGCTCAATGTAACGAATACAGCGTTAAAGACAAGGCACCTGCTCAGGGAGCTTTTTAGTCTCTACTATTAGCCTTTACTAGCAAATTACAGCGCAGTGCCCTTAGCAAACTAGAGTTCTCGCCAAAAGATCCTGCACTGTTAGCTTATTTCATAGTGACTACTACTGGTCCCCTTCTCCCTCTAGTTTTGGTCAATTTTGTCCCCGCAACTTAGATTAAAATGTCTAAAATGTCCATTAATAGAACTAGGAACAGTTCAAATAGTTTCAAGCCCAGGGGTGGCAGAGAAGCCAGGGACACGCGCTCCGGGCCTAGGAGCTCCGCGGAGGCCGTCCTTACCCACCGCCCACCCCGTTCTCCCACCCGCGGGGCGCGCCCCGCCGGCCACTGGGTTACCTTCCGCTTCGCGGGCTCGTCGGGCTCCGGCACGGCGGCCATGGGGACGACTCCGCGCCTCCACCAGCCCTGCGCGGCCTGGGCCACCAGAGCTGCAGCCCAGCCCGCGGCGCCCCTCCCTGTCCCGCCCCCGCGCGCCGCCGCCTCCCGCCCCGTCCCCACGCGCCGGCCGCCATTTTAGGAAACGTTCCTAATGCTCCGCAGTGGCCGCGCCGGCGCCTAGGGTGCGAGGTCCTTTGTTCCATCGAACGGGTCACACTTTCTCCCCAGCCCGGCACACAGCCAGCAGGGCCGGGAGCGCAGAAGGAGAAGGGTTCGGAAAAGACACCGGCTCCCTGATTCCTGGTAGGGCGGGGCGGAACCGAGCCAGACTGCTCCACTTCTCGCCCCACCCCCCCGCACTCCGTCCCAACCGCCATTTTTAACCGTCTCCGGCGCGCGCTCTCGCTCACGTGCACGAGCGCCGGGCGCGCGCCGAGGGGTGGGGCCGTGGCGGAGAGAGCGGGCGCGGCGCTGCTGCTTTGTCCCGCGGGGTTGGCCCCGCCGCGGGGGTCGGCCCGGCCCCGGCCCACCGGCCCGGAAGTCGCTCCGCGCTGGCTCGGCGGCCCTCGTCCCCTAAGTGTCCTTTGTCCTTCCGGCTACGGGACGAGCCCTTGGTGCCCAGGCGGCCCCACTCCGCCCCAGCAGCCGTTTAGTCCCCGGTGCCTGCCTCGCGCAAACGGGGCTCCGACGCCCACCCCACTTCCTCCTCCCTGTTATGGTTTCATTACCAAGTGGCTTTAAAATAGCACCGCGCAGTTCTCCTGAAGGAGACTGGGGACAAAATGGAGGGAGCAGCTCGCTAATGTACATGCGTCAGGACGTTGGTGTCCGCGGGGAGGGTGCGCAGGGGACGAGGTCTTGCGACGTTCCAGGAAAGAAGGCTCTGCGGCGGGCATTTTTGATGTGAAGTCGTGTTCCACGTTTCCCTCCTCCCTTCCACTGCGGCATAAGGAGAAACAAAATACTGCATGTTGGCGAGCCCCGTCGAGAACGCGTGCTTGCAAGATCGAGCCCATTTTTCAGCGGTCACAATAACGCAGTTGTTTCTAGTATTTGATTTTTCCCGTTCCACCTGACGCCTCCTTTATTTCTGTACTTCTACGTTTCACGTTTAGGCTGTGTGTGTTTCGAAGGGCACTCCTGGGAGACTGGACTCGTAGAGGATGTCGTTGTGCAGAGTCATGCAGCTTTGAATGATGCTGCTCGCTGGCACGCAGCACTCCATGTTAACGACGCTGAATTCATACTAGTGCCGCTCATTGGGCGGTTTTTTAATCCGTAATGACCTGACTTTCATGCCCATTTAATACCTTTCTACAATGCCAGTAAAATACACAATATGTGATATGTATTTATGTGTCAGAATTAATGTTTTTAAAGTGAGTTTTTTTTTGTTTTTTGAAATTGGAGTTAGAAACTACATACTACTCTGCTGTTTGCTAGGGAAAAGAAAAACGTCACCCTACTGGTGATACCCTGCCATTTCTGGATTCTCAGCTGAAATTCTAATGCTAACTATGCTTTGAACTCCAGGTCTGAAAGGTAGTGTTTAAGGCAGTAATATTCCTTGAAGGAGGGAGAAATTCTTTTGAAAATTTCCAGGAAAACTGGAAAATTACCGGGTAAAACACGACCGAGCTATCCTATTTTACGTTTTATTGTGACTTTGAAAAATTGCCAGAGTACACACTGTAGGGGTCCATTTCATTTGTCTGTGAGAATTATTTTCATATGGATGATTATTTTATTTTATTTTGTTTTATTTTTTGAGACAGTCTCACTTCGTTGTCCAGACTGGACTGCAGTGGTGTGATCTCAGCTCCCTGCAATCTCTGCCTCCGGGTTCAAGTGATTCACCTGCTTCAGCCTCTGAGTAGCTGGGATTACAGGCACATGCCACCACAACCTGGTACATTTTTGTATTTTTTTGTAGAGATGGGGTCTCTCCATGTTGGCCAGGCTGGGCCTCAGACTCCTGACCTAGGTGATCCTCCCGATTCGGGCTTCCAAAGTCATGGGATTACAGGCCTGAGTTACCGCGCCTGGCCTATTTAAAAATTTTTATTTTCACAAAATTACATAATACTTACATTTTTAATTGTTTAACAGTTAAAGAATGGAAAGTAAAACTGACTTATTTCTCTCCTCTTTTTTTTTTTTTTTTGAGACGGAGTTTCCATCGTTACCCAGGCTGGAGTGCAATGGAGCGATCTCGGCTCACCGCAACCTCCGCCTCCTGGGTTCAGGCAATTCTCCTGCCTCAGCCTCCCGAGTAGCTGGGATTACAGGCACGCACCACCATGCCCAGCTAACTTTTTGTATTTTTAGTAGAGATGGGGTTTCACCATGTTGACCAAGATGGTCTCGATCTCCTGACCTCGTGATCCACCCGCCTCGGCCTCCCAAAGTGCTGGAATTACAGGCTTAAGCCACCACGCCCGGCCCTTTCTCTCCTTTTTAAAGAATATATTACTAACAGTTTGATGTCTCTTTCTAAACTCTTCTTTTTCCTTCTTCTTAAAAAAATGTTATTTGTAGAGACGTTGGGGGTGAGAGGGGCGGGTCTCACTACGTTGCCCAGGCGGGTCTCAAGCTCCTGGACTGAAGTGATCCTCCTGTCTCACCCTCCCAAAGTGATGAGATTACAGACATGAACTATGGAGCCTGGCATTTTCTTTCTTTCTTTTCTTTTCTTTTTTGAGACAGAATTTCACTCTTGTTGCCCAGGTTGGAGTGCAATGGCGTGATCGGCTCACCACAATCTCTGCCTCTCAGGTTCAAGCGATTTTCCTGCCTTAGCTTCCCGAGTAGCTTGTATTACAAGCAGGCACCACCATGCCTGGCTAATTTTCTATTTTTAGTAGAGATAGGGTTTCTCCCTGTTGGCCAGGCTGGTCTCAAACTCTCAACCTCAGGTGATCCGCCCACCTTGGCCTCCCAAAGTGCTGGGATTACAGGTGTGAGCCACCACGCCCGGCTGGCTTTTTCTTAATTAAATATTATCACATGAATACATATATTTTGTCTTCATTAAAACAGCACGGGAATATAATAGGTAGAAAATGAAGGGCTCTCTGTCACACTTGCCTCCACGCCTATGTATACATGTACCTGTATGTGACACGTAGCTAAAGCAACACTGCACTGCCTCATTTGCACTCAGTAATCTACTTTTTGCCCTGTGTCTGGGGATTTTCTGATGTATGTACCACAGATACACTCATTCATCTTCATGACTGCTTGGTAACCCTTTCAGTATGTTCTTTGATTGACGTTTCAAGTTTCCATTTTTTGTTAACCCCCCAAAAGTGCTTCAGTAAGCATCCTTATGCGTGCATAGATATCCGTACATGTTCTGTATTTCTGTAGGGTGAATATCTGGAAGTTCAACAACTGATTTAAAATGTAATACATACTGCTAATTTGTCCTCCAAAAAATACTGTCAATCTGCGGTCTCCCACAAACTATATGAGAGTTACCTTTTTCCTCATCATTTCAACACCTCATATGTTCACATTTTTTAATTTGGGGGAGGGTGGGCATGATGGCTCACCCCTGTAATCCTCTTACAGTTTGAGAGGCCAAGGCAAGAGGATCTCTTGAGGCCAGGAGCTTGAGACCAGCCTAGGCAAAAAAGTGAGACACCTCACCCCCAATCTCTGTCAAAAAAAAATTAGCATGGCTCAGTGGCATGTGCCTGTAAATCCCAGTTTTGGGGGGTGGTTTGGGGATGGCTGAGGCAGGAGGCGCATCACTTGAGCCCAGAGTTTGAGGATGCAGAGCTATGATTGTGCCACTGCAGCCCAGCTTGGGTGACAGAGCAAGACCCTGTCTCTAAATAAATAAGTAAAATGGGTTGTGTATGTGATTGTCTTGTTCAAGCAGCTCTTTACAGTTGTAGCTTTTAGTCCTTATGTATGTAATGAATGTATTCGGCACGTTCACTTACTGGTTGTTTTCCTTTATGGGGTCTTTTATTTCTCAAGCATTTTAACTCTTTTCCTGGTGCAGTCAAATCCGTCGGTGTTTCCTTTTATGGGGTTTGGTCTAGTGAGTTGCTTCAGTGGGCGTCCTTGACTCATAATGAAAACATGCTTTCAGGATTTTGAAAATAATAATCCTATAGTCCCTTTCTCATTCATAATTTTGAATATTTTTCTTCGAAAAAGACCAACTTTTGGTTTTACTAAGTCTATTTTTTAATTTAATTTTATATTTTACATTTTTAAAAGTTTACCTGATATATTCTATTGTGTTTTTTTTAGCTTTTTGAATTGACTACTTCATTGACTTATTCTCCATCTTGTTTGGTTTGTAGTGAGTGTAGTTATGACTATAAAATTCCCTCTGGGGTCATTTCATCATTTGTTATATCAGATTATCATAGAGGTGATGTTCCCATTATTTCCTAAATTTTGTATAATTTCAGCTTTTATTTCACAAGTGAGTATGTTTGGGTGTGCTTTCGTTGTTCATTTCTAATTTTTGTTTTATTTTGTCTTACACTGTGACCTGTTCATTTCTGCTTTTGGGAGTTTATTGATTGTATATGATGTGTGTGTGTGGTCTTACCTAAGAGATGTTATTTCTGACCTGGTGTGGTTTCTCGTGCCTGTAATCCTAGCACTTTGGCAGGCTGAGGCCAGTGGATCACTTGAGGTCAGGAGTTCGAAACCAGCCTGGCCAACATGGTGAAACTCCTGTCTCTACGAAAAATACAAAAAGAGGCTGGGCAGGGTGGCTCACGCCTGTAATCCTAGCACTTTGGGAGGCCAAGGTGGGTGGATCACCTGAGGTTAGGAGTTCAAGACCAGCATGGCCATCATGGTGAAACCCCATCTTTAAAAAAAAAAAAATCAGCTGAACATGGTGACATGTGACTGTAATCCCAGCTACCCTGGAGGCTGAGGCACGAGAATCATTTGAATCCATGAGGCAGAGGTTGCAGTGAGCCAAGATCGCCCCACTGCACTCCAGCCTGGGCAGAAGGAGGGGCCTCCATATCAAAAAAAAAAGAGAGAGTTATTTTGTTCATGTTACATGGGAATTTGGAAAGAATGTTCATTCTCTATAATAGCATTAAACCAAGCTTATTGTAATATGTTGTATATTATAGATACGTAAAATATAATAGCATTCAATCAAGCTTATTATCATTCAACCGTCTTTGTATTGTGACGGTTTTTCATTGCAAGCAGCGGGCTCTGACTTTAGTTATCACGAACAAGAAAAAGAGTTCCCCTATTGGGAGGATGTGGAGAAACTTAACTGAATTGAAGGGAAAGTTGAAGAGCCAGGTCTGGAAAAGGACAGCATCCTGGACAGGTCTAGGGCTCTAGATCACAGGAACAAAACGAGTGGCTCTGCAGGATTCCCTGT